ACGCAATTTGTCATCCCTAAAATTCATACATAAAATAAACAATAATCGTAGTGATTCCCCTGAAATCCTAGGCTTGATTCCGTTTCATATTCCTTCGCGCCTTACTCGACATACAACTATGTTTAATATTTCTATGTCAGTAGCTACAACTAGAGCACCTCTCGCAACCATGTTGATGTTAGCTAATAAATTTAATTAAATAACAGATATTGATATATTTATTGGTTTTAACCACATTCCAAATTTTTTAACACAAAACTGAATAATACTGAATATATCTTCGTGAAAATGAATCTACCTGAATCTGTAACCCAACAGTTCTGATAGTATTTATGTGAATAAAACATATATTTTCCAAGTTGCATTTACATTATCTATAAATTTTAATAATGAGAATCCATGTAATAAAACTAATAAGTTTGTATGGATCAAATAAATGAATAAATAAGGCGCTTGGACACTGTTCAAACAAAGGAAGAAACAAACAAGTTCCTGTTGGATATATGAAAGCCTTACTATTAGCCAAGTAGGAACATCAGATACCATATCAAAGAAAAATTGAAAATACAATCATTATTAAGAATACTCTGACCTGTTACTCGATGAAAATTAATAACATGATGATAATTATAGAATTTTCTATTGCGAGCTATGCATGAAAAATAAAGTGTATTTTTATGATATTACTTTTTTCTTGACTTCTTTTGTCCTCTCTTGTTAAGTGGTTGCCCTCTTGTCATGTCTTGTCTCGGCCAAGACGACACAAGACAAGAGAAGAGAATCTCTTCTCTTGGCAGCAACACTGTCCTGAGAATATTTGCATTGATTTGTTTTCCTGAATTCACTGTTTTTGCGATATGTTACCATCTGTTATGTTTGTATTTAATGTTGTTAAAATATCACTGCTTTTAGGAAAAAATAGATCTCAAGTTGTTTTCGACACAATGTATGTATGGTTTCTTTAAAAAAAAAGAAAGTACAACGGATTTTCTCCAAGATGAGAGTAGAAAATTCATTTTGTACTTAGTAAAGAATTTGAAATTTTTCTAGAATTTTTTTCTGAAAATGTTTTATTCGACTGGTTCGCATTCCAGTTTATATTTTCTGACATTCATGTAAGTAAATGGAGATTCGTTCCATCAACATCACCTATACGAATAGTTTCACTTCGTCAATCTCCCCCATTGGACATCACCAAGGGCATGCAGGAAATTTTGTAAACACCTGATATCAGATCGGATATTCGTAAACGAACAGTGGAGAAGCATCCGCTTTTAACTATTTTTTCTCTAGTTGCGATCGAGGTTTAAGTGATAAAGTGCGTGCGAAATATCAATAAAAAGTGCTTTCTTGTTATTTACAACATAAAAGATTCACGCAGGATGACTTCGGTGAGTTTATTAGTCGAAAAAATCTGTTATGATTATGATGCTTGGCGGATTAATGAGTTTAAATTGTTACCTTTCTTGTAACATTATGATGTGTTCAACGGTAATTAAAGCGGCTCAAAATGGGAGTATAAAAAACTATTCACAGGTGGTTGATGTATCAAGAGACATTCTGCAGATTGTAGATTTGCAGATTGCAGATTTTATTCAGACTAAAGTGTATCTTTCTATCTACTAAACATCTCAAATATGCCTTTATTTGAAAATTGGATTTTTAAAAAAAACATAGAATGTTTTGCCACCGTTCTCTAAAGCATGTTTAGCAATACAAGATTTCTCTGGTCTACAAATATCTATGTGAAATTCTCAGATTTTTTCCTCAACTTCGGACCAAACCTTTACTATTTATCATTTCTAAGAATCGCACGTTTTGAAGGTAAGACCTCGTTAACTTCTGTCTCGCATGTAATTCGACTTCGAGGGTTAAGTTCGACATTAAGGTTTGTCGTTCGGATGGGGACAACCCAGTTACACCCCTTTTTTTCACCTACTTTTATATATAACTTATACTATCACTAGCTACTTGTGAAATGTGCACTAATTGTGTATATAGCTTGATAAATTATGACAGAATCACTTACAAATTCAGCGGTATATATAGCTTGATGAATTATGGCAGAATCACTTACAAATTCAGCGGTATATATAACGGAAAAGGAAAAGGTAAGTTGTCCATCAATTAGTAGAGATTCCAATGAAAGGTATTTTACATGAAATTCAGAATGTTAAAATAAATTGCGCGTAGGATAGCTGAAAAAATTCTGGCCAGACTATGACCAATTGAAAATTCAAAAAGGGCTATACTTATTTGTTGAACGAATGAACACATTTTATACCAATCGAATAAACGAAGCCTATAGAATGTTTAAACGTTGGGTTGGCATTTTTTTTTCCTGGATTGGCAGGTATAAGTAGGTAAATTGATACTAATAATTTATACCCATCTGGTTAATGAATGAATGTTATATCAAAATAATCGCTCTTTCATGATATGGGATTGTCTACAAAAATTTTGGCCTGAAAGACGGTTGGCGAACTTTAAGAACTGAAAAAATTTCAGTTCTTCAATCGCACTATTATCTTCAATCTTCAATCGCACTATTAGTGCGATTGAAGATGTGCGACAAAAATAACTGAGCAAACTGCCTCATACAATAGAAGAGAACAAACACAGCATTGCAAAACTGCGAGCGGTGCGTCCCTCGGAATCGAACCGGATATTCGGCCGAATTATTCGGTTTAAATAATTATTTGAGGTTTAAAAATTAATGTTGATATTAAAGGAATGTGGATTTGATCGAGGTTTGAAAAATGTTGATTTTATGTTCAAAAATAAACGTCGATTTGGAATTTAATTCCTTTATTTTATCATCTTTATTCAACTCATTCTTAATTGGATTTCTCTGGCTTACAATATAACATAAATCTTACATAAGAAGTGTTGACTTTTAGTTCTATACCGTGTCGTATATAGTCAATAAAGTAGAAATACTCGAACTGAATATATTCGACATCAAAATCGAGTAATTCGGCCTAACACAAATATGGAAAAAGATGCCAAATACCAAACAAATATTTGGCCAATCACTATGCATAATTGATAAGAATAACGAGCCAACCGACGTTTGTATATTCTAAAGGTTTCATATTTACGATTGGCATACAACTTGTTCGTTGAATAAATGAGTGAGAAGTTCAAAAAATAATTTTTGAAATTTCCAATTATCATATTCTGACCAGGATTTTTTCAGTCAACCTATTTATTTTTTATATATTAAATTCCATGTAAAATACTTTTCATAGTTTCAACAGATGAATGAAAGTAGTTTCCAATTCAAATCTTAAGACTGATCAGAAACTTATAATATGGTCACTTTCTGACATAACGAAAAGAGAGAGTGTCATCATATTAGGTATGATTGTGAACTAAATCAGGTGCATTAGATCAAGCAGTTAGGGCAGAATTAAATATTTACTGAATAGAGTTTTTGAGATAAATATATTTTTTCTACTCCCTCCATTTTGAACTAATCATTACGTGTATGATAGCAGATAGGTAATGGTTCATTTAGAATACATTTAAAATAACATTTCCAGTAAATTTATTGTTCAACATTTTGTGAGTTGGTAATAAATCCAGTCATATCCATGAATCAACAACCACTTGTTTTAATTATAAGCTGTCATTTAGTATCTCGTAAAAATTCGAAATGAGTGATAACGATCTAGAAATTTGTGCTACCCCACCATATATAACCAAGCAAGCAAATATTGCGATGAATAGATAATTTGTTGTCAGCAGAATCAAGAGAAAAATACGAATATAATTTCGAGTTGGAGAGAGAAGAAAAACATAACCTCGTTTTCCGAAAAAGGTCTTCTTGTTTATTTCTAAGATTTACCAAAAACTTTGAAACCATCGTCATTATGGGCAATTTACTCCATGCTGAGAAGTACTCTGAATATTAAGAAAAATGTGGACATCAGCAAACATTCGAAATTATGTGCGTCTCTGAAACGCAAATCTGAGCCATAATCTCAAACAAATATATTGTACCATTCCTTTTTACGATCACTCGTAGAAGAAGTATAGTGGGTACGCAACTCAAGGATAAGGCCAATAACTTCCACTCGCGAATTATCGCACTCGGCTAACGCCTCGTGCTTACAATTTTTCGCTCGTGGGTAATTGTAGGACTCTTATCCCACTCGGTACGTAATATACTATTAAATTATGAATGGACTGACCCGTTCCTCTACCGAGGAAGCTACTGCGTTAACGAAACACGTCTAGTAATTAAAATGTTTGTGAAAATTGTTAAATAATTATCATGGATAATAAATATATTTTAGTTTGTTTCGTTGGCACATATGTTCGTAGGCTCAATTTAGAGACCACCATTGTACGATTTTGCCTGATGTGCCTCTTCTTATCCACCAGATGCTTTCTCATTTTCATGAATAAATTAGAATGGAAGATTTATTATAGAATCACCGATTTCTTCTACCAATGTACTCGTATCTTCTACCACAAAATTCTTTCAAAATTGATGTCCTCAATATGTTTCCCAGGCAAGTGAGAAACTCAAATTTACATGAATTGAAAAACAAAATTAGAAAAGTTCTACTGAAACAATATTTTCATTTTCTTAATTTGACTGAGATTCTGATGCACATGGAAAACTATACTTTTCTACTTCTCATATAATTTTTTTTGGGCGAAACTCGTTATTTCTTCGTTATTTATAAACATGGAGTTTAACTGGCTCCAAAATGTTGAAAACCATAAATTGTTTGACTAATTTTGATTTTTTCCAATTATCTTTTCATTGTTAAGCCTGTTTCAAATTGACTGCAAATAAAACGTTTTGTTATTCCTAGAAACTGCAAAAATAATCCGTATTATTTTATGATCACGGATATTAAACCGTTTACTTTGTCATTATTTTCGCAATCGCGACTTCCTACTAAGCACGAATTTCACGATGTACAGGTAAACCACAACACTCCGTGCAGTGGGGGCCAGTGTCCTCAGCTTGAGTTGGCTTCCTCCAAGTGTATCGAGGAAGTTGTAAACTGCCGGGCTTCTGTCTACATTCTACTCTCAAAAGTGGTCCGGTTTCCTGCATCGTGAGACTGCTGCAAGTTTGTCATTCGCGTTTGCGTTTTGGAGTTTGCGGGAGTGGTGACAGTGTCTGATTTTGATTTCGGTGTAGGTTTTTTGAGAACATGCAAGTATTCGACCTGCAGCAGGATGACTATGTAATTATTTATGCCTATATAATTTTTCTCATGCAATAAAGAATATCGACCAGAAGTTTCGATATTTGCAAAAGTCAAATTATTTTCGTTTATCTCATAAAAATGATCATTGTCGAAATGAAAATGTAAAGTTTTTTACTGTGTTTAATTGAATAATTTTCTATAATTTTTTACGAAAACGAATTAGCCCTTCAACTTTTGCTGCTATTTTCAAACAGTATCTCTAGCAGCTAGAGGAAATATGAAAATAGATCGTTGAACTGTTTTAGTGTAATCTAAACTGACATTATAGAAAAAAACAGATTTATTTGTTCATTTGTAATGGATTTAAAAAAATACCTATAGAAAACTTAATTATTAGCGAGTAACCAAAAGTACCTATCAAAAATTACCTATAAAAGTTAATTATTTGACGTGTACGCCGAGAGATCAGCTAGTGTAAAATAAATAACGTTTGAGCACATGGGCAGCGAAATTCAATAACTACAATTCCAAAGTCTATGTGCCGAACAACTTTTATCAAACACATTCATCATAATAGCGTATTAAAAAATCCTGTATTCAAGAATTCAGAAACATTCAATTTCAGAACTTAGTTATACCTACATGTTGCAGCTAGTATAACGTTTATTGATTTCCTATATACATCTTGTGTTTACAAGTAGATTACCTATCTTAGTTATTTCCCATAATGATTTGTTGTAAATACTCATCTCTTTCATAAATGTCGTCGTTCCCTCTGGTAAGATGGTGTGCACTGGCAACGCAGCTAGTAATGATATGCGATCCGTTTGTTCTGTGTAGGTCTTCTCTCTTTCTTTCACATCCCTGGTTGTTAATGGTCCCGAATTATTGTAAAAGAGGTACGCCAGTCCGATGCCGATTTCCTTGAGACCTCTCTACCTGCCCGTCTTCAATTTAAACAATTGGACCAGAAGCTACTCAGTACATTTATTCCTTTTCGGGTGATTATACATGTCCATGGGGTCTCTGATGTTCTGCATCTCAATTGTTTTCAAATCTCATGATTTTAGTTCACCCAGGGTTGTTGTATGAAAACAATACCAAACTCCTTCTCACTATTTATAAGAGGAGACCACCGGGACACCTCTAATATAGTAGGTTCTAGCTTGTACCAATCGTCTAGGCTCTAGAAGTTTAAAATTGACCAATTCCATTTGCAATAAGCTTCAAACCAAACATGTTTTCTTCAAGGCCCTGAATGATCTTGCCTCTATGCTAAAACATAGAATTGGCCCTGCTTCTCCTCTTTTCTACAGACGGGAATGCAGTTTTTCACTTTCAGACCAAATCCTATATACTGATACGTGTCTTGAATGCCCTAACTTTAATCTTTTTCGTCAGGACCCTCGCTCTTTTCGAGAGATATCCAGTCTCTAGTGAGGTCAAGTTCGCCACATCCCAAATTTTTCTTAAGGCCATTCCAGAGTCACTCCAAATCAGGTCTGCTTATCTTTGAGTCAGACTGAGCTGCACTAGCAGCTTCACCTAAAAATCAGTTTGCTCTTTATCTTTGTGTGCCGATCAGTTTTTCACTCGTCTCTGGGTCTCTTCGTGACCTCTTCAATAACTGAACTTTTTTGGAAATTTTCTTCGCCTTCCTCCTTTTTGCTTGGCTACTTTTCGGTCCTTGTTTCCGCAGCAATTTTCCTTTGCTTTTATTTCATTTTTATTTTACTTATTAAAATCTTAACTATTTTTTTTGCGGCATCAACTGCTAGGTTATTAGCTGCGGACTTGTTGTTTCTATTGAATTTGTGGCTTTCAAAAATGCCATCAGGTTGCTCAACGTTCGTCTATCATCACATAGAATTTCTTTCATTGCCCCACTTATATTATGTTGTCTCCTGGTTTCTTCTTATTCTGGACATTCTACAAGTATATGTTGAAACGTTAGTACTGTTTGGCATGTAGTACACAGAGGTTGTTGTTCTCCTAGGAGCAAGTAAAGGTGTGTTATTTTTGTATGGCCGATTCGCAGACGCGTGAGAGCAACTTGTTCTTTCTTGGTCAATTTCAGTGATGAAATTCGCTTATTTACACTTGGGGTCGAGCATTTAAGTTTCGCATCAGTTTTATTCCAAAGAGTCTGCCAGTCAGATACTTCTTTGGTTTTATTAAAATTCTTCAGATCTTCCAAGTGGACTGGTACATCTTCATATTCGTTAGAGTTAGCAATCATTCTAGCTGCCTTATCCACATCCTCGTTGTTATTTATGCCACAATGACTGGGCACCCACATGAAGCTGACAATTCTACCGCTTTCCTTCATAATATGAATTCTGGCAAGAATAACCTTACAAGGGGGTCAAGAGTAAATTGATTTTGGAATGATCTTAGGGAATTCAATGAGTCGGTACAAATTAGGAAATGAGTTTCGTTTCGTGCGAATTCACAGAATAATAAAGACTGGTATATAGCGTATAATTCTGCTGTGTAAACGCTGGTTGTTGAGTGCATCGACCAGCTATGGAGGTGTCCATCTACAAGAAATGCACAGCCCACCCCATACTCGGTCTTTGATCCATCAGTATATATTTTGCAGTAGTTGTACTT